TCGCCCGTGTCCTGGTGCGCGTTGCCGCGTGCCGGTGCACACCACCCAGCCGCGGGAGCGGGGCCGCGCTGCTGCGCGGGGCCCGGCTGTGCCTCGTCCCTGCGCTCACGAGCGCACGGGGATAGCGCGTGCCTGGGGATCAACCACCCGTGTTCATGGTCTGCAGAGCTGGCTCCCCCAATGGTTTAATTCTCTCTATATTAAAAAAAAAAGTTTATTGAAAATAAGCTGCTTAAAATGGGTTAATCTTTCAGTGAATTTTTTTGAAGTTTGGGAAGAACAGGCAAGAAATCAGTCTGTGATTAACTTGCACAGATCCCAATGCTCTCCTGAGCAGGGTAACTTCCTGCAGCTTTCTTGTGAAGTGCAAACACCCCTGTCCTTTACTCATCCCTCTTGCTATGATCATTTTAATGCAGAGTTATGCATTTCTGTGTCATTCATAGCACTTCTGAGTAACTGCAGTAACTTCCAACTCTAGCAAAGCAGGGGCAACTTGCCCTGCGGTTTTGCTTCTCTTGGTTTTGGCCATCAAATAAATCGGGCCCGTTACGTATGGTTGTATCCCCCCATGGCAGTTCTGTACCCCGTGCAGGGCCTGGGCTCCCCCGCTCCGCAGCGCGTGCTGCGTTTGCGCTCGCGTCCCCTCGTGCGCGGGAAGCGGTTCCGCCGTCCTGCGGATCCCGCCGGTTTGCTCGTGAGCTCGGGTGCAGCCGGGAGCAGCCCCAGCAGAGCAGAGCAGAGCGGCAGCGCCGCCCGCGCCGCGGCCCTCGCAGATGCTATCGCAGGAAGCGCCGCGCTCGTGTGCGAGCCCAGGGTGTCTCCTCACAGGCAGCGCCTTCCTGCCGGCCTGCCCGCGGGAAGGGACCGGCGCGGCTGTTCCTTGTGCTGCCCTGGGAAGGACGAGCTCCGTCTGCTCAGTTTGCATGCGGAGATGTGAGGGGCCTGGGCAGGGAGGAGGCTCGGCACATCCAGGGCAGCAGCACATCAGAAAAGAAGCACTTCCAAAGCATGGTGATTAGTGAAAACGGAGACATGGGAAACACTCGTTATCTATTAACATACTGCACCCCATTGCTGTTTTTTGGCAAATGTGGATTTTCAGAAATAAACAGTGTTTTTGTTGGGATGTTTTTGATCTTGGTTATTTGACAGAATCCCATTTCCTGAATCATTTCCTTTTTAATGAGCCAATGGGATGCAAATAATGGCCAAGAAGCTGTTTGAAGTGGAGTAAGGGCTGGGGTAGGTCTGAAACAGTGCAAGGAAAGCATGTGTTTTTGGTGTTAGCATTGAGAGGGTTTGCATGTAGCCTTTTACTTTCTCCTGCTCATAAAGCAGTTCTCCCTTTTCTTTTTTTGTAGCACACCTTTACGGTAAAGGGAAGCTTCGATTTAAGTGTTAGCCGTGTGGGAAGGTGGTAAAGGTTGTGCAGGCAGCGGTGGGGCCGCTCCTCGAGCGCAGCCCGGCCGGGCCGCCCCAGCC